GTGCCCAAGAGAAGGGGGTTGGAGCAGCTTGGGGATCTCAGGTGGGATTTTTTAGGGGGTCCTGGATGGGGTTTTGGGGTTCCAGGTGGGATTTTTGGGGTTCCCGGGTGGGATTTATTAGGGGATTTTGAGTGAAAATTTTGGGGGCTCCCAGGTGGGATTTATTAAGGGGTCCCAGACAAGGTTTTGGGGTTCCTGAGTGGGATTTTCTTAGGGAGTACTGGGTGGGGTTTTTCAGGGATCCTGGGTGAGATTTTTGGGGGTTCCCATGTGGGATTTTTTAGGGAGTTCTGGGAGAAAATTTTGGGGATCCTGGGTGAGATTTTTGGGAGTTCCCGACTGGGATTTTTAAGGTCTCAAGTGGGATTTGTGGGGTTTCCCAGGTGGGATTTTTTGGGGGATTTTGAGTGAAAATTTTGGGGATCCTGGGTAAGATTTTTGGGGGTTCTGGGTAGGATTTTTTAGGGGGTGTCGAGTGGGATTTTTGGGGTTCTAGGTGAGATTTTTGGGGTCCCAGCTGAGGTTCTTGGGGGTTCCTGGGTGGGATTTTTTAGGGGGTCCTGTGTGAGATTTTTGAGGATTCCCAGGCGGGATTTTTTAGGGGGTTTTGGGTAAAAATTTTGGGGTTCCTGAGTGAGATTTTTGGGGGTTCCCATGTGGGATTTTTAGGGGAGTCTGGGTGAAAATTTTGGGGATCCCAGGTAAGATTTTTGGGGGTTCTGGGTAGGATTTTTTTAGTGGGTCCCAGGTGAGATTTTTGGGAGTTTTCAGGTGGAATTTTTGGGGTTCCCGGGTGGGATTTTTGGGGATCCCGGATGATGTTTTTGGTGTCCTGGGTGAGGTTTCTGGGGGTTCTGCATAGGGTTTTTTAGGGGGTCCCGGGTGAGGTTTTTGGGTTCTCGGGTGGGATTTTTGGGGGTTCCTGGATGGCATTTTTGGGGTCCCGGATGAGATTTTTGGGGTCCCGGCTGGGATTTTTGGGGTTCTGGGTGAAATTTTTGGGAGTTCCCGGGTGGGGTTTTCTTTAGGGGGTCCTGGGTGAGATTTTTGGGGGTTCCTGGATGAAGTATTTGGTGT